TAAGAAGAGATATCATGTAGCGCGGCTTGTGATTTTGATGATGGCGTTCCTAATGCACATTTTACAGCTATCTGCTTTCTAATTGGCCACATCAAACTGCCTGCCATTGATGTCCTCGTAGATAAGCAGGAGATAAGGGGTTGGCATTGTGATTTTCTACTTCTACCATGCGTGTCACCATTTCTGCTGATGCTTCAAGGCCATCCACCATGCAGCTGACTTGGCTGTAAATGAAGCTGCGCGGACCCACAGCAAGATCGCACTGTTATGTTCTGTCCAGTCCACAATCACTTTGCTTCCATAATCGGATTGATGTCAGGAGGTAGGGAGTAAAATCTAAGGATATTTTCCTCACACTTTTCGTCGGTGTGCTCCATTGCCGTCAGCCATGCTGCTTGCTCTAATGCTCGGCTCAACCTTTAACCCAGATGTTTGTGTTTCGATAAAGAGAGCAAGCCAGAGGTAACTAAATTGACGAAAGAAAGAATGAAAAGGGTAATCAGCGGAATTTTCTGCTCTGCAACAGTCACTACAAGTGGAGTGTACTGTTCCGACATGAGGGCTAATTGATGATTTGAAGGCCACTCCTACATTATAGTATGACCAGGATGACAGCACACAATGATGAGTGGTGCCTGTGCCTAACATCAACCTGAAACCGTAAGGTGGCAGTGCTGCCAATGCGACCCACAGACTTGCTTTTATCTCACCCTCACCACATACCTAGTGAGTCAGGGTTGTGGACGGCAAAACAATCAGATTGATAGTCAATGGGCACATAGGCTATTTCAAAAGCAGAATAATGGAAAGGGGAATAAATGAAAGACATTTCAGCCAAATCGAGAAAAACCTGTGTACAAAACTCACTTAAAAGAGAGTGGAAATTCGTTTATGCCAACCGCTGCTCATAATGTCCTTGGTGTTGCTTGTACTTTTAGCATCGTTGGTGACATTTACGAAGCTCACGATGAAAATTTTAAAAAGTGGAGGACCCCAACGTAGCTTCTTCTGCTCCATAACACGCCCAACATAGAACAGCACGCTAATCCACACGCCTTAGTCACACTATCTCGCTGAGGTGATGTAGTGAGAAGTGACCTCTCATTTTAGTGCATTGCGAGCAGATCAACATTTCAAACT